ACCTTCAAATTCAACCATATGAAACTTGCAATTGAAACCAATCGAAAAAAGGGAACGATCCAATTTGTCGAAAAAAAAAGGATACTCACTGAAGGGTAGGCACGATCCCAAAAGGGTGCTTCTGTAGATCCACCGGTTGACTCCCTTCCAATCCTTGGTCAGCCATCAAACCCTAATTTATTAACCCAATCACAGAGCCGACCACAACCAAAAAAATCCACCACGTTCAACAGCAATAAGTACCAAACAAAAAAAAACAAAACTCCGCTTCCTTTTTCCTCAACTCTAAACAAAAGGAAAAAGAAAAACCTTTATTAGTTAATAACCAAACAGAAAAAGAACCCAGATCTCGAAAGTTAAGAAAACCCCAAAACAGTTAATCAAGGATTTTCACCCGATGCAACGAATCCCTTTTAACTGTCTTAAAATTAGTTTGAGAAAAGGAGAAATTCGGGGAGTTTGTGTGAAATCCGACCTAAAAGAGAGGAATTAGGGTTGGTATGTGCCCGTGGAACGAATCGGAGAGGGAAAAGGGTGACAAGAGTAGAGAGAGTGGGAAGGATTCGAAAGAAGAGTTCTTTTATAGGAGAAGAAGATAGAAAGACAAAATTCGGGATTTGTATGTTGTGATAGGTTTTGATTTGAAGAGAGAGAGAGAGAGAGTTTTTGTATGTCCAGAGAATGTGAGGAAGAGAGAGATAGAGAGAGAAAGAGTAAAAGGTATTTGTAATGGGTGTGGAAAGATCTGGAGGTAATAGCGAGAGAAGAGAATCGAGAATGACCACCTCTTATTTATAAGCGCGATGTAGGGCAATGCTATTCTCGCAGCTCTTTTCTCACTGCCCAATTGAAACATGACACGTGGGCTTAGACGGTTGTTTTGACTAGGAAATTAGGGAACCACGCCCAAGTGTTATTATTTATTTATTTATTTTATATCTCATTTATCATTATTCATATCATTTATCTTTTATTTTCTTTTTAATTATAAAAACTTCAAATCAAAGACTGTTATTTCATCTAATCTTTAACGTTTAACTATTAAAACAAAATTTGTCTACATTTTCTATATAAGATAATTAATCTTTGGGAAAAATTATTTTTAATAAAGATATTTCTAGGATTTTTTTAGTTTATTTGAAAAATGGTTTGAAACCGATTTAAAATTTTCCTTTTTAAATAAAAATAATTATAAATAATTAAAATTAATTAATTTTTTTAGACGATTAAAAATAAATATATTTTTGAATCATAATCCAAACGTGTATTTGTCTCAAAAATCACATAAGAAAATGGTGACTGTTATTTTTTTCGTCTAACGAAAATATTAAAAAATAAAATATTTATATTTATCACTATATCTTTTGAATATCTCATATCTCATTCCATTAAAAAATGTCTAATATAAAAAAATATAAATTAAAATTTAAAATAATAATAATTTTTTTTAAAATTTCAATAATAATAAATATTTTTTTAATTGACGAGATAATCAAGAGACCATTTAAATTAATGATTGGATATATGATCTAGGATTTATATATATATATATATATATATATATATATATATATATATATTAATGTATTTTTATGTATGTGCAAAATAAAAATATAATAAATTATTAAATATTAATAATAATTGAGTTATAATTCCTTAAATCAAAATAGTAATATATTTTGTTTCTTAAAAAGTGATAAAAACTCTTTTAATATCTAATTAAATAATATATCAATTAAATATTACACCAATAATATAGTTTTAAGTTAAAATTTCAAAACTTTTTATCATTTCTTAAGAAAAAATTATAAATGATTATTCCTAGCTTTTTTTTCAATTTTTTATAAGATGAAATTAATTTATATATGGTATTTTTTTACATATTATTTATATTAGCTTCCTTGAAATCTGATTTTTAATTTATTTGTAAATCATGTAGTTAATGAATAAACTAATTTCATTTTTTTTCTTGTTTTTCTATGTTTTTGGAGAAAATTTATCCGAAATAAACCTTAAATACTTACATTTTTTTTAAATGTATTATTTTGACTATAACTATTAGTAGTTGATGATATTATTTTTCATTCCCAAAAAATCATATTTCTAAAAGAACATTTATATCCCATAAATAGTGATAAATATAAATATTTTATTTTTTAATATTTTTGTTAGACGAAAAAAATAACAGTCACCATTTTTCTTATGTGATTTTTGAGACAAATACACGTTTGGATTATGATTCAAAAATATATTTATTTTTAACCGTGTAAAAAAATTAATTAATTTTAATTGTTTATAATTATTTTTATTTAAAAGGAAGATTTTAAATCGGTTTCAAACCATTTTTCAAATAAACTAAAAAAATCCTAGAAATATCTTTATTAAAAATAATTTTTCCCAAAGTTAATTATCTTATATAGAAAATGTAGACAAATTTTGTTTTAATAGTTAAATGTTAAAGATTAGATGAAATAACAGTCTTTGATTTGAAGTTTTTATAATTAAAAAGAAAATAGAAGATAAATGATATGAATAATGATAAATGAGATATAAAATAAATAAATAAATAACACTTGGGCGTGGTTCCCTAATTTCTTGAAAGCTCAGTCAAAACAACCGTCCAAGCTCACGTGTCATGTTTCAATTGGGCAGTGAGAAAATAGTTGCGAGAATAGCATTGCCTTGCATCGCGCTTATAAATAAGAGGTGACCATTCTCGATTCTCTTCTCTCGCTATTACCTCCAGATCTTTCCACACCCATTACAAATACCTTTCACTCTTTCTCTCTCTATCTCTCTCTTCCTCACATTCTCTGGACATACAAAAACTCTCTCTCTCTTCAAATCAAAACCTATCACAACATACAAACACCGAATTCTGTCTTTCTATCTTCTTCTCCTACAAAAGAACTCTTCTTTCGAATCCTTCCCGCTCTCTCTACTCTTGTCACCCTTTTCCCTCTCCGATATGTTCCACGGGCATATACCAACCCTAATTCCTCTCTTTTAGGTCGGATTTCACACAAACTCCCCGAATTTCTCCTTTTCTCAAACTAATTTTAAGACAGTTAAAAGGGATTCGTTGCATCGGGTGAAAATCCTTGATTAACTGTTTTGGGATTTTCTTAACTTTTGAGATCTGGGTTCTTTTTCTGTTTGGTTATTAACTAATAAATGTTTTTCTTTTTCCTTTTGTTGAGGAAAAAGGAAGCGGAGTTTTGTTTTTTTTGTTTGGTACTGATTGGTGTTGAACGTGGTGTGTTTTTTTGGTTGTGGCCAGCTCTGTGATTGGGTTAATAAATTAGGGTTTAGGGTGATTGGAAGGGAGCCAACCGGTGGATCTACAGAAGCACCCTTCTGGGATCGTGCCTACCCTTCAGTGAGTATCTTTTTTGTTTTCGACAAATTGGATCGTTCCCTTTTTTTCGATTGATTTCAATTGCAAGCTTCATATGGTTGAATTTGAAGGTTTAAGTTGTGAGGTTAACCTCCTTTTTTTAATAGACTTTGATGCTTTACTTGTAATAGGTATCCAACTGAGTCAACTTTCATGTCTTGTATCTTCTTAACACTGTTGTGTTGGTTGTGAGAACTCAACTTGTAAATAGTGATAGAAAATCTTTTTGAGTGATGATGTTTGTGCTGTGTAACGGTAGCTGGTATTGCTGAGGTCACTGTGTTGAAACATGGGGCAAATGGGATGATAGGTTACACCTTTTTTTTACATTCAATTATTGATATTTAACTGATGTTGTCTATGGGAGAAATCATGGTGTCCTAATCCGGGATTAGTAGTTATCTGCTTATTGTTTGTCAAGGTTTCAAATTACTGTTACAAATGTTTTGAGATCTTTGACATGGTGGACATATGAAAGGATAGATAGCCCGTGACCATTGACATCAAAGCTGAAATTTTAGCTGTGGACTTCTTGGCTGGTTTCATGATAATTTTAGCCCGTGAAGTCTGTTGAATATTACATAATACTAATAAATTTTTTCAATTTGCGCTATGTACCGGTATATTACATTTAATTGTCAATTTTTCTGCTTAAATATATCCTAAGCTTGGGTATTGGTAGCCACCATAATGCATACAAAAATATAGGATATCAATGTTTCAGTTACACCTGTCATGTTTGCCAAAGTATGTATTTACCTTCTTATTTCCATACAAAAATCATAGATTAGAACATCACTATACTAGCACAACATGTTTTACCATCCTGTCTTCTCGTGTAATCCTTGACCTATCTGTCTTGCACCAAATTATAATCACCCAGGTTTTTATCTTTTAAGAGGTGGTTGTTTATGTTGTGTCCTATCTTCTGCTATTTCCTACTTTTGATTAGTAATATTTTCTTTTATTTAGTTGGAATGTATAAGAAATTTTTTTTTTTCACATTGGAATGTTAAGGATTGTGCTTGAATTTACATTGTATTACATAATAATTTTGCTTCTGTTTACAATTTACTATAAAAATGACATTTTTTTTTCTATTTACATTTGTGCACTTCATAATATTTCCTCTATTTACATAGTGTAATCTAAAAATCAAGCTGTTTGTACTGCCAGAAATATTGTGTCCACAGTAAATTTGGACTGTAAGTTGGACCTCAAAACAATTGCACTACAAGCTCGTAATGCAGAGTACAATCCCAAGGCAAGTTTCGTTTACTTGTAGTGAGTTTCACTCTATGCTATCTGCACAATTGTGCATGTACATGTTTATATTTCTGCCTTTTCATCTGAATTACAATAAAGGTTTACTTGTATCCTGCTGTCTAAATTTGTTTGTTCTTATCTGGACCAGAGAAGTATGGTCAATCTAAAATTATTATTTTATGTTAATATCCCATGTGGTATCTATGTATGTTACAATACTTGTGTTCTGCAGAATGATTAGTTAGCAGATGTAATATTTATGCTAGTTCTAGTGGTTGGTGGTTTACTGTACTGATATTTGTGATTTGTTTGCCTGCTGCGTTTTGCTGCTGTTATTATGAGGATAAGAGATCCCAAAACAACTGCACTTATTTTTGCTTCGGGCAAGATGTTATACTTCATTTCTGCACTGCCATGCCTATCTTCTAGATGAGAGTTGTGCATTTTGCTATACTTAGCTGTCCTGTAATTGGATCCATGTTAATTTGTAGTTGTGTGATTCTCTTGTTGAATTCTATTGTTAATTAACTATGTTCATCAAATCAATGAACAAACTGGTGTTGGTTGGAAACTCTATAAAATTCATGCTTGTGTTTGCCTTAAGTGTATATGATTGAAGGTCCTAGTAATGAGTTTGCAAACATAGTTACCACTTATCAGTCAGAATTGCATGAATCAATTGGCTCTGTATAGCTTGACGAGCGAGAATGCGATCATGGAGTAACCTCAATGGCTCAATTATTAATTTATGCAAAATGGACATAAGGAATGCATTCTTTTTCTAGACGTATTTTTACAGTTTTATTTAGTGGAAAAATATGTTTCCCTTATTTTAATAATTGAGCGTTATTAGTCTTGCAATTTACAATACATTTAAATTCTTAAATCCAATTGTAGGGGTTTGTGATTCCCAGATTGCCAACCATGGTTGTAAAAGTTGAAATTTGTTTTTCTGCTTTCTGTCATGGCAAAACTTTTTATATTACAAAACCTGAATAATTTGGTAGCCTTCTTGTAAAGGGATTCTCTTTTTTATGTACTTCAAATTAAATTTTTTATGACCATTGACTAGGTTTGTACTGGAGCGAAGAGTGAACAACAGTCTAAATTGGCAGCCAGGAAGGTAAGCTACTGTTCTTTGTTTTTTGTTATTTTATTTCTCTATCATGCTTTGGGTATTGATGTTATTTTCCTAAATGGAAGCCCTGGCAAAATAAACCAATTTGTGGTAGCTTGCTTTTAAAACTATTCTTCCTGTTTTTTCAGTAGACTGAGCTCTTAAATAATTTAAGGAGGCCAGATGGTTTTAACTCTTTACAATGTTTAATATTGATCTTCAAGTTGTTTTCTTTGGTTAGGATTGTGAAGTTCATTATGAAAAATTTACATTATTTTCCGGTTTTTTGGTTTTCTCCTTTACAGGAGCGAAGGTATTTTTTTTCCTTTTAGTTTGCCCCTGCAATTTCCTCCCCATTTTCTGTTGTACTGGATTTTATGTTTTTATTTCCATTTTTAGGTGAGATGAGACATACACTGCCTTCGAGAACATATATCCTGTGCTTACTGAATTCAGGAAAAATCAACAATGGTATGAATTTATCTTTATTTATTTAACTTTCAGTACATTCAGATGTAATGTCAACTACTTCCATAATCGTGGCTACCTTTTTGTTTAGCCATTAGAATTATAAAATGCATTAGATTTAGATCCCGGAAGGTTGTATTTTTTGTGGAATTGTTGTAGTTATACGGGTGCATTCACGTGATTACCAGTGTTTCTGGTTTTAAAACTAGATTCAACATTTGACATGGTTATGGCAGATTTGTGAAGAAAGAGCAGAGGAGCAGTGGTCTTGCAGTGAAGTTCGTGGAACTGTAAATATTAAGACAAAGGAGATGATATCTAGATTGATATAAATTAAAGACAGCCGTTTGTGTTGCCTTGTATCTGTTTTTTGATTGGTCTTGATGTAGTAAAGTGGCAGACATTGTTCTATTGAATTCACAAAAAAGATTTTTGAGGAGTCAGAAATGAAAAAAAAAAAATGGAGAGCTAAATGGAGAAGTAGAAAGCACATTCAGTTCTGACATTTCAATCTATTTTTGTAACTGTTTCTACTAATTAACCATAGTGTGGTCTGACCACGGAGTAGTGATTGAATATCTTAACCAACAAATCGAATATTTGATAGATGGAACTTCTTAATAATTATTTTGGACATGAATTTGGTTCCAAATTGAGGTCTCCTCCCTAAGAGAATAAAGGGGATTTGTAGTTAATTAAAAGCCAATGGCTTTTAATGTTGATATAGATGATTATTGTAGATGATTATAAATGTTGAAATAGACTATGTTGATATAGATGATTATTGTAGCTTTTAATGTTTATAGCATAACAACACATAATATAAGTGTAGTATAATTGCAGACGTTTCTTTTTTGATATAAGTGTATCGTTAGTCTTGATGTTTATTTGCCTTTGTTAAAATTGATATTTTCAATTCAGAATTATAATCTGATAAGAAAATTTATCTAAATTAATAAATTAAAAATAAAAAATCATGAATGCACTAACTATTTATACTTTTTATGGTATTTGGATTTTTCTTTTCAAACTCAATCAATTTACTTTACTTTTTACACGTCTTATACTTTTTACAGTTTGATGGAAGAGGAAAAAAATATATACCAAAGATACAAAAGTGAGAAGAGATCTATAAATAAAATTATAGTACTCGTTGGATAGAAATTATTAAATAAACCTGCCAGATGAAGGTTAACAACAAAATTAATTTAATCATTGCCGATTTCATCCTACTTTCTTAATCTCCTATTTTAATAAATTATAATAAATTAAATTTATTTTTACTGAAATATTTTTTTAATTTATTGTTTTGGTATATACATTTTAATGATTTTTTTTTAATTTTCAATCGAAAAAGTTTTAATTTGTTTTAAAATATAAATGAAATCAAGTGATTAATATTTTTTTAGTTAATAAATAAAAATCATACTAAATTAGGTTAGATTATTTATTTTGACAACTCTAATATATTATATCAAAATTTAGTTGTGAAAGTGTTATATATTGTGCTTTTGATTAGTTATAAACTCTTAATCTTAAATTGAATAAATTGAGTTTTTTTTTAATAAATAATTTCATTATTTTGTAATCTTTTGTATTCATTTTGTAATTTGATTTTAGAGTTTGTTCATCATTTGCATTGCAGAGTAATGCTTGACTTTTTTCATAAATAATACTATTTTTAAAAATATTTCCCAAAATAGTACATCCGAAACATTATTTACACAACTAAGCACTATTTACTCGTTCACGTAGTAAAATAATCGATCATTTTATATTATGATCGATCATTTCGCGTAATGAACTCTCGCTCAAGCGAAGAAACCTTCGCTTGAGCGAGGAAATCTGTAACAAAGGGGTAAATTCTCGCTCAAGCGAATAAACCCTTCGCTTGAGTGATAAAATCTGTAACGAATGGGTAATCTCCGGTCAATTGTCGCTCAAGCGACGGATATTTTCGCTTGAGCGAAAAGTCTGATCGATTATTATCCAATTATAGTCGATCACTTTGACATATATGACTTTAGATAGCGGTTATTTGGCCAACCGCTATCTAAACTACATTTATTATAGCGTTCCACAAGTCAACCGCTCTTTAAAAGTATGATATAAACATACATTAGACAGCGGTTAAAGCCTAACCGCTATCTAATATATATTTTTAAAAGCGGTTGTTATTAACCGCTATCTAAGGTAACTCAAGCGAAAAACACATCGCTTGAGCGAGGACACCTGGAAAAATGGGGGATTCTCGGGTTCTGTCTCGCTCAAGCGACGTTATGAACGCTTGAGCGACAAGTGATTCTAATATGTGGTGAACCAAGTTATATTATTTGGCTAACTGCGTTTGACGTTTCGGCATTCTGTCAACAGTCGCGCAAGCGATAAAGTCATCGCTTGAGCGACGAAGCCATCAAACAAGGGGGACTCTCGGGTTCTGTCTCGCTCAAGCGATGGGTACTTTCGCTTGAGTAACCTTAGATAGCGGTTAATAACAACCACTTTTAAAAATATATATTAGATAGCGGTTAGGCTTTAACCGCTGTCTAATGTATGTAGTTTAGATAGCGGTTGGCCAAATAACGGCTATCTTAAGTCATATATGTCAAAGTGATCGACTATTTGGCTTGTGTGATGTTAAGTTCCCCATATGGCTTGTGCGATGTTTGGATTCTTCTGCTTTTGTCTAACTGTTAGTGGAAAATCGAGAAAAGCGATCGAAAACGAAGGAAAGGAAAAAGAGAACATGTGACTGATAAATCAAGATAGATAAAAAACCATTCGATGTCTAAGCACGTAACACATAACATCGAGAAGTACAATCGAGAATCGAAGGAATGATAGTCAAATGCCTATTGTCGAATAAAAACCGAAGAAACTAGAATGATAAAACGTTAAGGTTGAAAAGGAATCGTAAGCAATTCGAAGTTCTCGAAAGTGTAAAATCGAAAATGAAGAAAGCTAACCTACACGGACATCGAAAACTTTGGCCAAACCATAAAGAGAAGAGTAAGTCAAACGCACAGATAGAGAGCAGTTTCGAAACCATGGAGGAAATCGAAGATCGTGAGAACGTGGGAAACCGTAGAAGATAAACCGCCATATGCACGTAGAACGTGGTAGCAGTCGTGTTAACTGCTCTTGGAAGACTTGAACGATGCACTATAAATAGAGCAAAGAAGGAAGAAATAGGGAGCAGAAATTGGCAGAGAACAGAATCAGTAGTGAAAAGTCTACCGGAGAAACGACGAACACCATGAAGCTTCTGGCAATCTGGATTTCCTTGCTCACTGAGTACATTTACCGCTTTCTATATTTTCCTTGGTAATTTACTTTGATGCAACTTAAATTCAGCAGTTTTATGTTTCTGTATTTTCGATTCCTTGTCATTTCAATTCAATGAAAGTTTAAATTTCTGCATTTAAGTTTCCCTGTTATTTAACATTCTGCAAATCTCGATTTCCCGTCATTTACTTCTTGCAATCTCGATTTCCTATCATATATATTTGCACTGTTTTCGATTTCTTGTCATTTACAATTAATGCAAATTTGGGGTTTTCACACTTTACATTTCCTTGCAATTTAATATTCTGTTTCTCAATTCGATATTTTTACTGTGTTCGGTATTTTAAATATAAAATACTAAAAATAGCATTTTCGACGACCTGTACTTTTCGATTCTTATACACATTTTCGATTGAAAGTCAAATTGCTAGCCTAAGTAAAAAGAACTTACGTGGTAGGATTTTGATTAGGACCAAAACACCTTTAGAATCGAAATCGATCGAAATTCCACCAGAAACAAATTGGCGCGCCAAGTAGGGGTCTTGTGTTGAGAAACACAAAATTGGTTAGTTCGAGAGTGTATAAGATTAAGGGGTGGGAGAGTCATGAGTCAGAGTTCATCAAGTAACCAGAGTAACACTGAGGGATTAAATGGGTCACACCCATCAAATACTGGGGGGCAAAGTCATAATGGGAATACACCTGTAGTATCGACAACTGTAAGTATGTCGATACCCGTGAGTAATGAACAAAATTCAGGCACTTTAGCAAATACCCAAGTAGGATCTAGTACGGTGGCACTAAACAGTATGCAAACTATGGGAAACCCTATAACAACAAATGCTGGGCCGTATATGAGTGTAAGACCACCTGGGTTTTCACTTAACATGAATGGGGTTGGTACTTCTTCGATGCAACGAAATTCGAGATATAACTTAGGAACATTCCAAACCCTAGGTATGCCACAGAATTTTGGAGCATCTCCAAACCTAGGAACATCTCAAAATTTAGTAATTCTCCAGAACTCAGGGAGTGTGCAGAATGTAGGAACGCAGCAAATACCTCCAAATCTAGATCATAGAGGAAACTTAGATCATGGGAGATATGCGTTTGATAGGGATTATCATCGATCTAATTTTGATACTATCAAAAATACTGGTACTGGAATATCTAGTAACTCCTTAGGAATACTTAGACAACAAATGGATGAGAGTAATTTTGAGATGGTGAATATGTTATCACAACAGTTGACTACAGTTCTAAATCCATTAGTTCAAAACACTACCGCTAGTTTTGAGATATTAGCAGAATCTAGATGCTAATATCAACCCCATTGGGGATGCATTGGCTGTACCTCGACAAACGAGGGTAGAAAATCATGCTAATCAGAATACTAATATCAATCCCCCGTATCTATTGAGGAGAAATAGAAACAATGATCAACATCAGCATATGGGAAATGAGTACCAACACGTGAGGAATGACATTTATGGGAATTTGAACGAAGGATTTCAAAATATAAACAATCAGAATAACATGTTAGGACAAAGGATGAATTTACAAGGGATGGAATTTAGACCACTCAATCAGACATATTTTGTGTCTCCCTTTCCGAATGCGATTCTCGAGACAGAATTGCCTCGAGGATATAAAGTACCCAAATTCACTAAATTTGCTGGAGAAGTTGGTGAATCGACTATCGAGCATGTGGCTCGATATCAGATCGAATGCGGGGATTTAGCGATGAGTGAAGAATTAAAGATGAAATATTTTCCTAGTTCTTTGACTAAAAATGCTTTTACTTGGTTCACTTCGTTACCGCCCAATTCGATATATAATTGGTTGCAGTTAGAGAGAAATTTTCATGAACAATTCTTTAGAGGAGAGACTCAAGTAAGTCTCATCGATTTGATGAACATAAAACGATACAACCATGAAAGTATAGATGATTATCTGAATCGATTTAGACAAATGAAGTCGAGATGTTTTACTCAAATTCCTGAATATGA